TGGGGGAAGGGTTGCACTCGATGGTCTTGGAGGACTTTTCCAGCAATTCACTGACTCTCTGATGGTATCACCTGAGCACTGTGGCACCTAGCACTGTGGCACCTGAGCCTGTGCTGTGGCTGGCACATCCAGCCCTGTCCAGCCCGTCACCAGCTGCCACCTGAGTGGTTGTGTCCCAGAAAATCTGCAATCAGGAACAGCAGGAATGTTTTCAGCACCCTGCCCTGCCTGGTGCTGTCTGGGATGTGCTGGGGAATGTCCCACACCCAGAATTAATGCCCACACCCAGAATGCCCACACCCAGAATTAATGCCCACACCCAGAATGCCACTGCTGTTCCCGCTGTGCTGCTGCACCAGGAGAGGCAGGGGAGCCTACAGCTGAGGACAGAATTTGTGGGAGAAGGCTGCAAAGCAATTAGGGAGGAACACACTTCTCCTAATGCTATATTTGTTATTTAATTTACTTGCATTCTGTTATTCAAACAGGGCGTTCCATTGCTCCTGTGTGTGAAAGCCACAGGGCCAGGCTGGAGGGAAATGGCTTTGTGCACTGAGAGCCGATAAGGTGCCAGAGCACTGTGGCAGCACAACAAGAGAGATGTCAAAATGTGAAAGAACAATCCATTTACATTTAGATACCAAATTTAAAATTATTTTCTCCAAGCTTCATTCCATTTGTTGGGGTTTGGGCAAGCATGTAGAATCATTTAGGCCTGTTGCTTTCATCTCTCTCTCATCTAAATTCCCCAATTGAAAGGCAGCAGAGCATGGGGATAGCTCTGTCTTTCTGGCAGAGATCGAGGAAAAGCCACGGAGCTCCATTTTGCTTTTAGATGGACTGGAAGTAGGATTTAATAATCAGCCTCTGCTCTGCCTGGCACAAATGATATGGGTTGCTAAGCCAGAATTAAGGAAATGAAAGAGAGGAGCTGAGAATTATCTGCCCCAGTGACTGCAGAGGGAATCAGAGCAGGAGCTCCAGGCTCGGAGCCATCCCCATGTCCGTCCCTGCTCGAGCTGGGAATGCTCAGATGATGTTTCATGTGTTTGATAGCTTGAGATGCCTGGGGGCTGCAATAAAATTCATTTCTTGCACTGTAAATCTTTGCTCTTTAAGCATGGAAGAGGTTACAAATGTGCATAAAATTGAAGTGCAAGTGATTACATCTCGCTCTGAGTCAGTATTGACAGCTCTGCCTTGCTCTGGGGGGCTGTGGGAGCTCCTTTCTTTGTGACCTGTGCCCAGGGTAATGAAAACCACTCAAGTGATGAAACTCCTGAGTCCAAAGAGGATTTTTGGCCTCTGTGTGTTTGTTTTTGATGTGGTGCTGGCACGGAGGTGCAGCTGCTCCCCATGCTGGTGCTCAGGCTGGCAGGGGCTGGGTGCTGTGGACAGGAGTGCCTTCCTGGGCTCTGGGGAGCCTTGTTGCTGCTTGGTGCCAGTCAGCATAGGGCTGTCCCCGTGAGGGTGGCGGCTGCAAGGGCACCTCTGCCAGGCAGCCGTGGCACAGCAAGGGGCACCTGGGCACTGCCCCTCCTCAGCTGTGCCGGGGACATTCAGTCGGGAATCAGGAACACTTCCCTGGAAGAGTGGCCAGGCCCCCAGGAGGTGGAGTGCCCGTCCCTGGGGGCTCCAAAAGCGAGCCCAGGTGCCCTGAGTGCCAGGGGTGGTGGCTGTCCCTCAGTGCCAGCTGTGGTGGCTGTGCTGGTGGCTGTCCCTGTGTCCCTCAGTGCCAGCTGTGGTGGCTGTGCTGGTATCAGCTGTGCTGGTGCCAGCTGTGTGGCTGTCCCTGTGTCCCCCAGTGCCAGGGGTGCTGGTGTCACTGAAGGTCAGACTCGCTGATCTCAGGCTTTTCCAGCCCCTGTGGCTCTGTGGGGTCACTGTGCCTTGTCAAGGACCTGTGCCCAGGTCCTGGCTGTGCCCGCCTGTGTCCCGCAGCTGTCCCTCCTCCTCGTTCCTTCCATTGGCATGGTCACTCGTCACCAGTAATTAGCGGGAAATTAGCAGGAAAGGGCGCTGGTCTCTAACTGTGACAGCAAACCTCTTCTTAAGGCGCTAAAGGCTCTTTAGAAAGCTCTCCTTTATTCCCAAGGAAGTTCCACGGTGCAAATGCCTCGGGAGCAGCTTTATTTGCAGCAGGCAAATAAATAAATAAATAGATAAATAAATAAATAAATAAATAGGCAGGAGCCGGGGTTTCTCCTTGCTGCCCCGCTCTGGGGCGCTGGCCCCGAGGGCGAGCCCTGGGAATTGCCGGGGGATGTCCCAGCAGCGCAGGTTGCTCCCGGCTCGCCGCCGGCCCGTCCAGCCCAGCGGGCACCGAGGCTGCCATAATTGGGTGTGTGCTAATTAACATGTGTGTGCTGCTTGCGGGAGGCCGGTCTGTGCTCGCAGCCGGAGCCGTCACCCTCCGCAGAGCAGCAGTGTGAGGTCTGTACCTGCCGAGGGAGGAGCGGGATGCTCCCTGCTGCATCCGAGCAGGGCAGCGCTGCTGCTTCATTGCCTCCCCCGTTTTCATGGGAATTCATTGCTTTGAGGAAACCCGGTCCATAGCTGGCGCTAATTGCCGGCGGTAATGATGAGCTGTGGCTCGGGAGAGGCTCATCAGCGAGGCAGGCTGTGTCTGCCCTGAGCTGCCCGAGCCTGGGACGCGGCTGCAAGGTGCACAGAGCTGCACTCGCTGGGTTAGTGCAGGAGCAGAGCGGGGAAATGCAGCGGAGCCGTCAAACCAAAAATGTCATGGTTTGACCCTGGCACAATGCCAGGGCCCCCATGAAGGGTATATTGCCAAAAGGGTTGCTGTGAGATGTGACCCGGGAACAGATCCCCTGGCCTGGCAGCCTTGCACAGAGCTGCACTCGCTGGGTTAGTGCAGGAGCAGAGCGGGGAAATGCAGCGGAGCCGTCAGGGACGTGATCCCCTGGCCTGGCAGCCCTTAAACAAGGAAGATTGTCTTTCCTCTCTGAAAATAACCCCGCGGCTTTTATTGATCATTTTATCTGAATTATGGATGATGCTTTTGTCAGCGCCATTATCCCGGTGAGGCAGGGCCGTGCCAAGGGTTGTGTCACTGCCTCAGAGCCCCTCCAGGGATCCACAGCGCTCCTTGGCTCCATCCCTTTGGCACCTTTGGTGGTTCCTGGACCTGTTGGAAGTGAGAAAGGAGTACTGGGGCTGCACTGCTGAGAAAACTCGTCAGCAGGATGGCTGGTTTTGCTGGGAGCCCCAGTAATGCCCGGGGACACTGGAGGGGTGCCACGATCTGAACTCACAGGGGAGCATCTAAACCTGTCATAGACACGCTGCTGCTCCTTGAAATTGGAGCATGTAATGGCTAAAGCTGAAGTACATCACAAAATAATGCATGGAATTACTTTGCGACCTGTTCCGTGATGACATTTTTTTTCCCAGGCTCATTTTACCCTTCTTCAGCGTTTAATAGCGTTCCCCAGTTTATTGGATATTTGTGGTGTAGCCTTGAAGGATAATGAGTTTTATCCTGGCAGATGTTGGACACCTTGTGTGCCAGAGAAGTTAATGGGAGCTGAAGATGATCAGCCCTTTGTGGGATCAGTCCTTGATTGAACAGGCAGCACTGACTCCTGCCTGGGGCACGAGCAAAGAGGGCTTCAGAGAAGATTGCAACGGGCTGCAGCTCCACTGGCAGAGATGCAGGGGGTGCTCAGGGCTGGCAGAGATGCAGGGGGTGCAGGGGAGACACACAGAGCCCTGTGGGAGCCGTGTCCTGTCTGGGTCTGGTTTTGCCAAGGGGCTGAGAGGAGCCCCAGGAGGCCCAAACCCAATGAAGTTTGAAAAGCACATCTGCAGAACAAATCCAATTGTTGTTCTCGCCTCTCCTTCCAGTGTCTCTTAAGTCTTCCTGGGAAAGTTTTAAAATGAAACACACAACATTAAAAACATCCAAAGTGTGAGTGGAGTCTCCCCACCTTAGCAGGATGGAAATATTCAGCAAACTGCTGGACTTGTGCCAAATTCTCCCAAAGACTGTGGGATTTAGACTTCAGTGGTTTAGCAAACTGGGATAACTGGAAATCCAGGCTCTTTTTGTGGTCTCTGCAGAGTGTAGGTTGGATCTCAGGGAAAGGTTCATCCCCAGAGGGTGCTGGCACTGCCCAGGGCATGGGCACAGCCCCAGAGCCCCAGGAGCTTTGGGCAGCGCTCCAGGGATGCCCAGGGTGGGGTTTGGGGTGTGTGCAGGGCAGGGGCCGGGCTGGGTGATCCTCGGGGTCCCTTCCAGCTCAGGACATTCCACAATTCTGTGTCCTGGATCTGTCAGTGTTGCCAGAGTACTGCAGAACATTTTGCTTTGTGTTCAGCTGCAAATATTTGCAGTTTTTCCTGAAGGGAGCGTGTAGCAGTGCTCATAATGTTCTGACTGGTTTGATTTCCTTCTGTTTGCAAACAGATTGGATTTGAAGGTCATAATTAGGAAAGCTGGTACCTTCATCCCCATATTGAAAAATTCTCAGAAGTCATAAAACTTGAATAAGAATCACTTTATCCATGAGAAAAGCCAAGTTCAGCCCAGGAGATTTAAGAAGTTGGAGGAAATGTCACTGTTTTTGTAAAAAAGAAATCTTAATAGGATCTGGTTGTGGTGCCTCAGCAGTACAGTCACCCAGACTGCGGGAGCCTGACAAAATCAATCCCTGCTAATTCTGTTTGTAGCCAGAGCTGGAGCTGGAGCTCGGCCTGGCCTGGGAGCCGCCTGCCCGGAGTCGTGTGGGTGGGAGCGGGGTCGGGAGCCACCGGCTGTCCCCATTCCTGGCGTGTCCCCATTCCCAGCACATCCCCATTCCTGGCGTGTCCCCATCCCTGGTGTGTCCCAATTCCTGGTGTGTCCCCATTCCCAGCACATCCCCATTCCTGGCGTGTCCCCATCCCTGGTGTGTCCCCATTCCCGGTGCCCCCAGAGCAGTGCCAGCCCCCCCAAGGGCTCATCCATGGGCTCTGACTCCTGTCTGCTTCTCTTGCAGGCCCTGCTGCAAAAAAGAAGTACGTGAGCTACAACAACCTGGTGATCTAGGCCCAGCTGCCGTGGGCCACGAGCCCACCCGCCTGGCTGAGCTCCCCGCACGGGCTCCGGGGCACCGGGCACAGAGAGGAGCCCCGGCTCCAGGCCGCTCCCGGGATCTCCTCCATCGCTGCCGCTCTGCACGGCGCTGGCCTGGCCTCAGGCCTCAGGGCTGCCGTGGCCTTGGGCCCGCCGTGGCCTTGGAGCTGCCGTGGCCTTGGAGCCACCATGGCCTTGGGGCCTCTCCAGCCTTGGGACCACCATGGCCTTAGGGCTGCCGTGGCCTTGGAGCTGCCATGGCCTTGGAGCCACCATGGCCTTGGGGCCTCTCCAGCTTTGGGACCACCATGGCCTTAGGGCTGCCATGGCCTTGGGGCCTCCATGGCCTTGGGGCCGCCGTGGCCTTGGAGCTGCCATGGCCTTGGGGCCTCTCCGGCCTTGGGGCTGCTCTAGCCTTGGGGCCTCTCCAGCCTTGGGACCACCATGGCCTTGGGGCTGCCGTGGCCTTGGAGCTGCCGTGGCCTTGGAGCCACCACGGCCTTGGGGCCTCTCCAGCCTTGGGACTGCTCCGGCCTTGGAGCTGCCATGGCCTTGGAGCTGCCATGGCCTTGGGGCCTCTCCAGCCTTGGGACTGCTTCGGCCCTGGAGCTGCCATGGCCTTGGGGCCTCCATGGCCTTGGGACCACCGTGGCCTTGGGACCACTGTGGCCTTGGGGCCGCCGTGGCCTTGGGGCCGCCATGGCCTTGGGGCCTCCATGGCCGCGCCTCAGGAGCGGCTCCCTGGGCCGGCCGCACTCGGCTGCTCTGGACTCTAAGGGGCTAATTCTGTCTTTCTATGTACTTCCAGACTGCAAGTTTTTGAACTCTCTGTACAGTTTGTGAGGATTTTTTGCATATTGCCATCCATGTTGTTCCGAGGTCACTGTTTGTTTTTTGGATGCACAGTTTCATTGAGGCCCTGTGCTCTCGGCACCTCTCAAACCACCCGACAACTGAGGATCTGAGACCTGTGTACATGACTTGTATTATTATTCTTGTATCACTGCAATCCATATACCTTATTTTTTTTAACTAAACAAACAAACAAAAAAAAAGAATTTAAAGACCAAAAACTGTGCTGGCGAAGTTTGTCCCCCCCTTCACACCTCCGATGGGCTGCAGAGGAAGCAGGAAGGATTTTTGCTGAGTTTTAGTAGAGGTCTTGATCTTTGGAATGCATGCCAGTAATGTATTTTATGGTACATGTTAATAATTTATGTTTGATATTTGTATTTGTGTTCTACTTTGTTCTTTTCTTTAAGGTATATGACTATTTTGCAATAATTTCAATGATTCTTAGGATATTTGGAGGAAAGATTATGGCTTTTACATGTCTTGAGGTTTTTCTTTGTTGATGCCCCACCATGATTGACCAGTGTGATAAGGACTTACAGAAGCATGTATGTTTTCTACTGTTTGTAATAAGTAATTTCGTTAATCTTGCTGCTTATGTGCCAATTTAGTGAAACCAATCTTTGCCGCAACCTCCTCCCTCCCTCTCCATTCTCTCGATCCTGTGATATTATCCAAGAATGTATCAATAAAGGATTTTGGTTAACTTTTTTTTATTTACTCCAATAAATATATTTTTTCAGTTGTTCCCTCCCCCTTCCCCCTCGTGACTTAACATTTATTTCACAACACTGTCAGACATCCAAAGAGCCGGCACAGAGGGGCTTGTGCACGAGGAGCAGGTCTGGAGAGAGTCCTGGGGAGCTGGCAGCTGATTGCAGGGGGAGAAGTGCTTGGAAGGGGCTGGTAAAGTCTGTAACCACCCCAAAGGCAGGCTGGAGCCCCACAGTGCCAGCCTGCTGCCCGTGTTTGACATCCCCGCGCTGCTGTCACTGCTGACACTCCCGATGCCTTTGAAGGACACTACGTTCAACAGCACGCCAGAAGGTAATTACCTGAGCAATTAATCAGAGTCAATCTGGCAGGCACAGGCTGGGTGAGCTGGGGCAGGAGAAGGGAAAAGCTGAGGCAAGAGGTGAGAGGAAACTCATTCCTTGGCAGCGCAGCACCTGCAGCACCTTCGGCATGGCAACCACGGCTCGGCTGCCACGGAGCCTGGGGAAGGCATTTAGCCTCCCATTTTCTGCAGACAACTTGATCAATTATCCTGATGAAGCTAATCAGCATCAGGAGGAGCTGTGACAGCTGCGGCGGCGCGGGGAGGTGAAGAGCTGGGTGTCACAGCCTGCCTGTCTGCACGGCCATGGCTTGGGGCACCTTCTGCACCAGGCATGGGCTGCAGCTGCCTCCAGATGGAACTCCACCCAGGTAAAGGCTTTCTTAGCAACAAACTAATTACCAGCCAGCTAACAATGCAGGCAGAGGTGCTGCAGCGTTTTCCTTTTCCCACAAACACAGGGACAGAGCCAGCGTTGGGCTAAATACATACATTGCCGTCAAAAAAATGTTTCTTGCTCACAGACTCTCTCTCTTTTTTTTTTTTTTTTCTTCTGAATGGGAAAAGAATGGTTTGTTGGTTTGGTTTTCACTTTGTTTTGGTGAAGGAGGGACTGAGGTGGAAAGAGGGAATGGTGCTGCTGAGAGCTGGTGATGGGGCCCTGTTGGAGCTGTTTTACACCATTCCAGGCAGAGCATCCTGCTGCAACACACACACACAGAAGTGAAAATCATAATCATGCTGGTTCTATTAATTGTTTTAAACATTTAATAATACGAATGCATTAGGATTTTTTTTATCACCTCCACCCCTATTTCTGTGCATTAGACTCTGAAGCAAGTCCCTGAGCCCAGCAAGGCTCTGGTTTAAGAGCTGACACAAGGTGAAGATGTTGCACTCTGCACTGTGGATCAATTTTTATTTTTATTTCACAAACTGCACCACACTATTACACCCACACAGCTCCTTTTCAAACACAGAACCACGAGCCTTTAACTCCATTTAGAGTCTTTTATTTTACAATTGGCTGCACTTAGCATCAGTGCAGTGTTACCATTGTTTCCATAACAGCTTCATCTCATTCCCCACGGAGTACACGCTGGTGTCATGATACTGCTTTGGTCCCTGCAGAGTTTCTGTACTGGTTTGGTCCCTGCAGTTTCTGTACTGCTTTGGTCCCTGCAGAGTCTCTGTACTGGTTTGGTCCCTGCAGAGTCTCTGTACTGGTTTGGTCCCTGCAGTTTCTGTACTGCTTTGGTCCCTGCAGAGTCTCTGTACTGGTTTGGTCCCTGCAGCATTTCTGTACTGGTTTGGTCCCTGCAGCATTTCTGTACTGGTTTGGCGACAGAGATGACTCCCGGGGTGCTGTGGACACCCCTGCTCTGGAGGAGATCAGCCCCAGGGCCAGGGATGGCTCCTGGGTGTCAGGGACACCTCCATGGAGATCAGCCCCAGGTTCAGGGATGGCTCCTGGGTGTCAGGGACAGCTCCATGGAGATCAGCCCCAGGGACAGGGATGGCTCCTGGGTGTCAGGGACAGCTCCATGGAGGAGATCAGCCCCAGGTTCAGGGATGGCTCCTGTGGGGCTGGAGCACCCCCTTGCCCTCGGGCTGGCTGCAGGACCCAGCTGCAGACAGGAAATGTTCCCTTCCCACGGTGATGAACGTGCTCTGAAAAAGCCCCTGTGATCATGAAAGGAGAAAATTCCCCAAGAATGGGAGTGATTTTTTTTTGTTGCCGTTTATTATTGAGACTGAATTACACCAAATTGTTTTGGTATGTAAATGCCAAGTTTATTGTTCATTAAAATCATTGCAGAGCTAAGCTTTCTGGGCATGTTGTATGATAGATAATGACAATTATTTAGCCCGAGTCAGAGCTTAGTCTTAATTTGTGACATTAATTGCCTTTATATATAATTAAATGCACTATAATGCTCCCATATGCAGAATGTGTGCATCCATGAAAGTGCTAATCAAACATATTTATTAATTTCTGAGAGAGCTTTTTGTCAGGGCTTTGATACACTTGAGTGGGTTTTGGTAAATAACATTTTTTAAGATGTTTAGCAAAATATTTTGATAATTGCTTTTTGTGCTGGTGGCATAATTAATATCATTTCTAATAGATTAATAAGAGCTGAGGGGTGAGGTGCCGCTTTGCCTCTGGCTCCCGTGGAGTCACAACCCCACCAGCAGCCTCGGTGTCCCAGGCCTTCCCAAAACCCTTCAAAGGCACACCTGGAGCGTGCTGGGGGTGGCTGAAGGCAGCACACACCTGGAGCCCCCGAGGGCTGTGCCCTGCCTTGGTCTGCTCCTTGTTCCACAGGGATCTGAGCTCCCCTCCCACACCTGGGGCTGCCAGCGTCCATGCCCTGAGCCTGCCATCGGCTGTGCTGAGGGGAGAGCAGACAAGGGGGATGGGGCAGGGGGAGCAGGGCTGCTTTGCAGCCTCTTTTCTGTCCCCTGGCAGCTCCAGGGGGAGCAGGGCTGCCTTTGCAGCCTCTTTTCTGTCCCCTGGCAGCTCCAGGGGGAGCAGGGCTGGCTATTTGCTGGCCTTGGTGCAGCCACAATTATTTAGTATTAATCAACAGTCATTTAATCCATGACTTAATTTTAACAATTGGATTTTATCATTAAATTATAAATTAAAATGAAATTAGTATTTCATTTTAATGATTATTTTGTATTAATAAAATTTTATTCTCTGAAAATTGGCCAAGCACTGGAGCAGGGAAGTGATGGCATCCCCATCCCTGGAAGGGTTCAGCAAATGAGATGTGGCACTTTGCAATTTGGCTGATGGACATGGTCTTGAAAGTTGGACTTGATGATCTTGGAGGCCTTTCTCCAAAAACCCACATATTTATTTCCAACAAATTTTCTTTTCAGCAAATTCTGTTATGTTATACCAACCCAGAAGAATACTCTGTCTTGGGGGGTTTTTTTTGGTGGGTTTTTTTTTTTGTTTGTTTGGGGTTTTGTTTTGTTTTTTGCTTTGTTTTGGGTTTTTTTTTTCCCTTAGGAATGATCTCAGCTTTATTTTTATCTCCAGTTTTTTGGTGCCAGAGGTGGCACTGGGCAGACCCACGGCCCTTTCCCCCAGCCAGTCCCTGGCTGTGCCCAGGGAATGCCAAAGCCTCTC